AACCCCCCCCCCCCCCCCCCCCAAGTTAGCTAGCATCAAGCATGATATCAGTGCTCAAGGCACTTAAGCTCAACTGTGATTGTTGAAGTCAGAAAACTCTATTGGGTTACACTGACATTAGTAGGATTAAAGAATCACACCATTCTGGTTTGGTTTTTCTCCTTTTTAGGCGATCTCGAAGTGGCGCCTTCGAAAACTAGAACATCTCCAGGATGCTAGATTGTCGCCTCGTAGCATGAAGGAGACAACTTACCAAACATAGTCTCATGTGAAATTGAGAATATGATATTGAACATGTGTTACACGAGGAGACTAGATTATAGATGTCAGCTGGAGCGAATACATCATAATAAAACAATTTCCAGAGGACCTATCAATATATCATCAGACCTCCATGCTTGGACTAGTCAGCAATGGTGGGGTATCAAGATTTGCACAGGCATCTCCAAAGAGGAGCCACCACGAAATTACACACCAATCTCAAGCCCGCGGTGAATCATTTGCATGGAGTACACATTGAATAACTATTATAAAATCAGAATACATATTGAACAGTCCCTTCCTGTGGAAATCAAAACCAATTTCATGAATTCAAAAGGTAAAGCACAATAAAACAAGTTGATTCATTCTCATTGAATAAGATCAACTATTATCATCTTTCTCAATGAAAAATTCTCACAATTCTACATGAACCCAATTTCTCTACAAACACACAACCAATTATGCAATAAGGATTAATTGTCCCTGTAAGCAATGTAATTCGCCAGAGCAATCAACGGCGCCGCCTTCTTCTGATCAAACCCAGAAAGCTGATCCTGAGCCTCCTTATTCAACTTGGCAGCAAACTCTCTTGACTTCTCGATACCAATCAACTTGGGATAAGTTGTCTTATCAGCCACCAAATCTTTACCCGCAGTCTTCCCCAATTCCTGGGACGACTTAGTAACATCAAGAATATCATCCACCACCTGAAACAACAACCCAATACACCTAGCAAACTTCCTCAATTTCTCAACTTCCTCATCATTTGCCCCACCCAAAATAGCCCCAAGAACCACCGACCCCTCCAGTAACGCCGCCGTCTTGTGAACATGAATGAATTCAAGATGTTCCAATCCAACATCGGATATGCCTTCAGAGCATATATCAACCACCTGACCGGCCACTAACCCTTCAGCTCCAATACATTTTGCCAATTCACCAATCACACGAACAATTCTTTCTGAAGAAACCGCTTTTGTTTCGGTTGCTACGTGCTCAAATGAGAATGCTAAAAGAGCATCCCCAGCTAAAACGGCGACGTCTTCGCCGAAAACCTTGTGGTTTGTGGGCTTTCCTCGGCGGAGATCGTCGTTGTCCATGCAGGGGAGGTCATCGTGCATTAGGGACATCGTGTGAATCATCTCCACCGCACAAGCGGCGGGCATGGCGGTGGATTCTTGGCCCCCGACGAGCTCGCAGGCGGCGATGCAGAGCATAGGACGTACCCTTTTGCCGCCGGCGAGGAGGGAGTACCTCATGGACTCGTGGATCTTTAGGGGGTCTCGGAGCGAAACGGCGGCGTTTAAGGCTTGGTTCACAGAATTGGCCTTTTCAACCATGTAGGTCTTGAAATTGAAGGTCGATTCGAGCTGGGTTTGTTTGTTTTCTTCTTGTGGAGTGTCGGTTTGTTCTTTGATGAGGATTGAGGAGACAGAGAGAGATGAATACGAGATGAGTTGGGTTCTTGGGCGTGGAAAGAAGATAGAGAAGGGTCGTTTGGTCTTCGGAGGATGGAGGATGTTGGTGGGTGTAGATCTGGATTTATACATGGAATGGGTTTGAACCCAGTTTGTGCTTAGATTCACAGTACTCATTTTTATTGTACTTCTGTCTGAACTGGTCTTGTTCTCTCTGGGTGTGAGTGTATGTAGAAAGGAAGGAGCTAGACACTGGAGATTTTGATGCTTTTAGGGCTTCTCAGACCACTGGAGACTTCACAATGAAGTTGCCGACCACTGGGAAGAGCTGAATAATGTACAAATCACCAAACAATTCACAGATAATTGTGCGAAGAGATGGTAGGCAAGCTAGAGAGAGAGACAGAGGTTGCTTATAGGACAGCAAATTTCAAGGATGGAATACGTTACTACGTAGACCAATGGAGACTAATGCTAAACTTGTAGGGGTGGTCCACTTCTAGAAAATTAGTAATGCTACGTTGATTAAATTTTAGGATCAAATTTATAATTTAAATGATATGACAAATAATTTAAGTTTTTTTATTTGGTGTCATGTTATTTAAGCCCTAATAAAAACTCTAAATAGTTAACTGTCATATCATTTAAGTTTTAAATTTAATCTCAAAATTTGATCAATATAGCATTACTCTTAAAAAATTTAGAGATACAAAGTCTAATTCTTTTCTATACCATCAAAAGCCTAATTACTCTCGATTCTTTTAGGGATATTCTTTAAATTAGTTTAAGTTATGGTGGCCAATCATTGAGCTCAAGAGAATCCATCTGAACCAGGATACCACGTCACAAAAAAAAAATATAAAGTAATATTGTACAGTTCAAATACAATCTAAAAAGTTATAATTCAAATGCATATTATTTTTTAAAAAAAAAAATTTTACTGAAAAAATTGATGAGATTCACTCTTATAGCAATAATATACATTTGAGTTGTATTTAAATTGTATAGTATTTTCCATACATATGATTCAAGACCAATCAAAACCTGTGTTTATATTTGTCGAGTACTCCTATTAATCAAAACTTCAACTAATTAAAAAGAAAAATATAATGAGAATAAAAATTTTGAAATAATGCAAAAGCTATCAAAAACTCTCTTCTACATTGGTATAGTTTGTTGTACGGTCAAATTCATTTCATTGGTGAATTCCTATTACAATTATGTATGCGTCTTGTTCGAGTGATGTTTAGTCACAATATATTTTTTATCATTCGAATTTGTCAAATTTATGTTATTTTTGTGCCAAATTTGCGAATTTTTTTTTAGGCTAAAAGTAAAAGGTGAGAGTTAAAACAAGTTGGTAATAATGAGGGGCAAAAAGAAAAATATAGCATTCTTGGGTGGGGTCCAACTCAATTTTCCGTATGTGCTAGCCATTGTTCACAAGCTTATTGGTTTAACGTGGAAATTGAAGTGGGAAGCACTTTGTTTGACACAATTACACGTTGCACTGAGGTTAGGTTCCCCGTTGAAAATTGGAATGAGTCGTTTAGCAGGTGGGTGCTTGGCTCTTACTCATCCGGCCCACCAATGACCAATGCACCACCATCGATGAGCGTTGATGGACATGCGATTTGCATTCTCATAATTGAATCTTATTACAAACTAGGGCTAATTTCTGTGTCAAGGCACGGTACAATAATTTTAAAAGAGATATTGATAACTATTGAATGAGTCAATTTGAGATTGTCGGATAGACTTCGTGAAACTTGTCATATTTTATATTATAAACTAAGAATTATTCGTGTCTGAAGAAACGGGAGTGAGGATTCCAGAGAGACAGAGAGAATCCCAGAGAGACAAAGAGAATAAAGAGTAGAGAGAAGAAGGTAAAATTCCATATGAATAATTTTAAAAAGGATATCGGTTGTCGTTAGATGAGTCTATTTAAAATTGTTAAATAGACTTATTGATTCAATCTTCTCTATTTTATATTATAGATTCATATGAAATTTATTATATATAAATATACCCTCTTAAAAATAGGATAGTTGTTTTATGATTTAATTGAAAAAGTGTATAGGAGAGATCGAACGAATGATTTAAAAAAAAGAAGAAAAAAACTATGGAACAATTTAGACTCGACTTAGTTTTGATTCGCACTTGTTAGTTCAAATTCGAAATAAATTGAATTTGATAAAAAAAAAATTAAGCTTAATTGTTAACGAGACACACAATCAATCAATTCAAATGTCATAATAAATTAAGTCTAAATAATAATACTCAATTCAAATAATATATAGCTCAATTTAAGCTGGTTTTTATTTATAATTAATTCTGATTTTATTGTCAAATGATTCTACCCAAAAAATAAACATTCTTAAATTTGTCCTTAAATAGCTTCATACTCCACTCCGTACACTTCTATCTCATAGTTTTCTCTAATAGATTTTTAGAGAATTTAACTTTAAGGTCAATTATACAAATTTTATTAAGAATTGAACTATTTTATTATTTATTATTAAATTCTAGGACTTAAATTTTAAAAGTATTTGTTGAAATTAAGCCTAGTATTGGTTCAAGTTTAGCTCAAAATGTTCACAAGTTTTTGTCGACCAACTTGAGCAAAATTCTAAACTCAGCTATCCAACTCGAACTCAACCAACCAATCACACTAAATTGAATCTGAACACATGCAACCACTGATCAGTCACACTCACACCCCCGATTCATATCCCCCCAACTCTTCTCGTGGTTCACTACCCTAGTACACCATACAAAATGTGAAAAATGCATCTCTCTCTCTCTCTCTCTCTCTCTCTCTCTCTCTCTCTCTCTCTCTCTCTCTATATATATATATATATATATACCCATTCACAACTAAGAATACCCATGTCATCAAAGTACATGGAGTCGCCAATTTTTGTAATAACAGGTTTTACAAAAACATTCCATTGAGGGTTTGGCTTTATCCACTGTCGAAGATTCTACCAAGTGATCATAAGGATGCCCTGCTAATAATTTCATATTAACTAATGATTGCCTACCAAATCCAGATGATAATTGAAAGCTCTTTTTAATTGTGTTGTCAGCCGACTGCTGCTTTTATATTATATATATATATATTCTAGCTTGTATAATTCAATTATGATTCTTTAAAAATAAATTGCAAAAGCCAAAAAAGAAGAATAGGAGAGAGAAGACGGCCGAAGAACCCTAGAGTTCAAAACAAAATTGAACTCAATCACACAGGGCCCTGTTGTCTTGGCCTAATTGTCTCGGATTCAAACACTTAACATCCGACAGAAACATCAAAGATTTCATGTTCTTCATTTTTTGTTTCCCCTCTTCCATGCGTATCCCTTCCTATTGGATACGAATGTCATTTTCTGTTAAGGTTTGCAATTCCCTCCTTTAACAAACATGCAACACAGTGCAGGGTATGTCCATGGCACGCTACCTATGTGTGCGTGTGCGTGTGCGTGTGATTACCAGATGACTAGAAGAGCAGTAGTTACGAATTAGATGTTGGGAGAGAATTGAGACAATCAAATTATTCTGACTACAAGCATTCTAAAAAACATCTTTTAAGGTGGGAGGAAAAGGTGGAAAATCCCTCAAATTTTCTTAGCAAAAAGAAAAAGGAAAAGAAGACAAAAGGAACATAAGGATGTTAGACTTGTCTCTCGACACAATGTTCCATCCAAATAAAGGGTTTTACTTGTGGTAGAGGTATAAAATGCTGAAGATAAAGAATCCAGCCATCTGCAATCGACAAGACATAATCAGCCATATAAATTGATAATTATAATACGGCTACAGAGAATGAAATTGACAGAAGGTACCGTAGAAAAGGAAGCTCCGTAATAGGGAAAAGCTGTTGTTATAAATCTTTCATATTCGTTGTGTCTGAAAGGCCGAACAGGAATCTGTAGTATGAAAAGATAAGTTTACTCATTTTCACATTAGTGACTCACAGTAAAAGAACCCAATCACTATCTAAGAGTTTAATGCGCTTTCACGTACACTAGTTTTTTATTGTCACCAATCTTGAAATATATGTAAATCCATGACTTACCCTGTTTTCGTCCCTATATATCCTAGACTCCTAGCAATATTTACATACACTATTTTGGATAAGGAAAAAAATGATCCACTAGTAAAACCATATTCCTCTTCAGCATAGGAACACAGCAGGCAGAACTCATGAACAAACATGTAGCATTCCATGTACATTCTACAATGTCGGGAAATGGTTGGGCCTGCAAAAGATTACCTGTTTCGAAAGTGATAAGCCAGTATATCCAAGTTTCTGATACTCAACCTTGAACTGGAAAACCCCATAAACATCGGGCACCTTAAATGATGTATAATAAAGACCCTGCAGAAGCAAAGAATATATGCATATCTGAAGATGAGAGGCTTGAACAGATAATATTGCATGATTGCAGGCACATGTCTAGCAGTGACTACCTTCTGATCAGTTGACAAGGTTTTCAACACATAGGGGCTCATCAAAAAGAACTGCACTTGAACATCATTGGCAACATATGGTTCCCAACTTTTTCCAGACCACTCATACATCTCAACAGAGTATTCCTGCAACAAAATTTGTCAGAAAATGGCAGCTAATTGTCTTCTTTAATCATTTTAATCCTACAGCACACATGTACTACAGCAAACGAAAGTTGAGATAACAAATGTGAGGCATTACCAAGTCATCATTGATCCGATACATTGCAGGTTCATCTGTTTCACCAACTTTGTGGTGTCCAACATTGACAGCCTGAGAGAACCAAGAAGACAAGTTAATATGATGCAAACACTTAAATGCATAGGACACAATCCAGTTGAAGGTAGGAAAACAAATGACAATGGTTTCTTCATTGGGTCTCAATCTTTTCCCACTCAAATCTCACAAACGAAACATTTATCAGCCCAAGTCGTCTCACCTTTAGATGCCCTCGTTCATGGAAGACCCATTTGCTAAGTTCAGTCACAAACTGTTCGTTACCCGATTTCCCATATCTGCTAGCACAAGCACTATTTTCCATGAGTTTCGTGTCTGAAGCAAAACACTCAATTACCTAAAGTTACAAACACAGGGAAGAAAAATCCAAGCATTAAGCAATAGATTACACAAACTAGTAATCTTGATGTCATTGAGTATCAACAACATCTAACAGGAGTTCTGCAGCTATTACTTGATCCAATATCAAATTCAGGGAACATTACTTAGAGAATCGCTACTCTCTGTGTGTGGGAAAGGAAGGGGGGGTGGAGGGTTGGGGGGGGTTTGTTGTAGGGTTCATCTTTTTATTTACCATAGGATAGAGTGATTTTAAATTATCTTCTATCTGAGCTTTTAAATGTGATGGCACATCGGTCAATGGATGAATGCTGGGTAACTCAACAGAGAGGTAGCAAGTGTGTGCCAATAAAGACCATTGCCCAATTTGATGAAACTTTCAACGCTCCGTACATCAGACCGCAAAGATATTATTAGGTTTAACACCAAATCTGCAAACAGCTTCTTCAAGAAATTAAATCTTGCATAAACAGCCAGAAATTTCAAACATATTCACATTAAATCACTCAAGGTACTATGCGGGCATAACTCCTTAACCACCTAATGGTGACAAAGATTTTATCGTACAAAATAATTAGTAAACTTTGCCAACAATAAAACCAATTCTGCAAAATCTACGAGTCACTAGGTAATGACACTAAGGAGACTTTGAAATTTCACTAAACATGAACCAGTTTTATAAAACAATCTAATTCCCTTGTTTCTAAACTCAACTCAACACAACAATTTGTCCCAACATTTTTTAGGCCGGCTACATGAATCCTATTTTGCCATAATGCTCTAGTAAGGGTCATGCTTTTTGCTAAATCATAATTTATTATATCATTTTATTTAAAGTTAATTTTGGTCTCTTTATCCCCACGCTTATCGTCAATAACCATCATATTACTTTCTCACCGATGTCATAGTAGGTTGTCTATAAATCAGTCCAAAGTACCTAAGTTGATTCTCCCTTAATTGATCTCCTATGGAAAAAAAAAAAAAATTGACCTCCTATGTAGGCTACTTTCACTTTTTCACGAATATAATCATTTTTAATTTTATCATTCCTAATTTTACTACACATCCATCTTCACATTTCCATTTTCGCCACACTCAATTTTTAAACATGTTTTTTCTTAGTTAGCCAATGCTCAATATCATAATAGCAGCCATTTAGTTCATCTTTCATTAATTATTAATTCCTCCATTGTGTTAAGAATTAGCCTCACAAATTAATGATTACTGTTAGGAAACCTATGACTTTTACAAGACCATTTGCCTGACTAATTTCTGTAAACTCAACTGAAGTCTTTACNAAATCAACCAAATTTTGTTCATTTATAAACTCATCAATTTATCATTAGTATCACCATTCAACCTCAAATGATACAATATAATTATAAATTTAATCACTAAATGTTGAATCCTCCACATGTAAATATACACAAAAACACACTCACACATTTCTTTTTTGGTTACCAACAAACTCTTATAACCAATAATTACTTTTATTAGAAATACAATAATTTAAGTTTTTACGGTAAAATAATAATATCTTAATGTTTAATTAAAAAATAGGGAAAAAAAAACTAAAAATCATGGATATTCCCTGAGTTTTAGAAATATTACACGAACACCTCATAATATTTTATAAATAACACGGAGACCTCCTAAAGTTTGTTATTCATTGCATGGAAACCCCCTTTATCTTCCTTTCGTCAATGTTGCAAACAAAAATTGATAATTTTATCCTAAAAAATTTTATTATTTTTACATTTGTCCTTCTCCAAATTTAGTACCAAAAAAATTAAAAATTTAATAAAATAAAATTTGATTTAGTACTCAAAAAATTGATATAATTTAGTACTCCAAAAAAATGATTAAATAATTTTTAATATTAATTTGATATTTGATAAAGTTGAACATAAATTAGAGAAAATTAAATGTCAATTTTTGTTAAAAATATATATTAATTTACAATCTAATATGTTAAATATTTTTTGGTGTTTATAGTTAATGTACTATTTTTTTTTTACATTCAGTATTATTTACAAATTAAGAAGTGACAAAATATATACGATCAGATATATAAAAATTTTGAATTAGTTTCAAGGAATAAATAATTGGATGACATGTAGTTTTATATGTTTTATGGAGTAAATAATAGCAAAAACAACACGAGAAAAAAAAATAATAGTATGAAAGAGAGATAGTGTAAGATAGATAGATAGATAAAAAGAATTATATGAGAGACTTAGAGTTGTAAAAAAAATGAAGTAGGACCATCAAATCAAAACGATCTGAGCCGCANTATATATATATATATATATATATATATATATATATATATATATACTAGTCATTACCCGTGCTTGAAAACACTATACAACAAACAAATTTTTTTAAAACAATTGTCCAAATTCAAAAAAATGATCTAAAAATATTCATATAAATTCTTCTTTTAACATGGCTCAAAATATATTGTCCATTATATCCTCCATATTAATGGAACTGTCACAAAAATATATAAAAACTCTCTAAAATAACACCATATATATAAATGTCTATGAAAAAAAAAATACTAACATAATCCATTAAAATTCACAATCTTTAAGCAATAAATTAAATAAATAAAATCTTGTTCATTTATAAGACTCACGAATTATCACCTCTACTATCACTTCATCCAATAACACAACATAATTATCAACTCAACTATGATATTTTCAATCCACCCTATCTCAATGTAATAAATACTTCAAGCAATATATATATATATATATATATATATATATATATATATATATATAATTGAATTCACAATTTTTAAACAGTAAATAAAATCAACCAAATTTTGTTCATTTATAAACTCATCAATTTATCATTAGTATCACCATTCAACCTCAAATGATACAATATAATTATAAATTTAATCACTAAATGTTGAATCCTCCACATGTAAATATACACAAAAACACACTCACACATTTCTTTTTTGGTTACCAACAAACTCTTATAACCAATAATTACTTTTATTAGAAATACAATAATTTAAGTTTTTACGGTAAAATAATAATATCTTAATGTTTAATTAAAAAATAGGGAAAAAAAAACTAAAAATCATGGATATTCCCTGAGTTTTAGAAATATTACACGAACACCTCATAATATTTTATAAATAACACGGAGACCTCCTAAAGTTTGTTATTCATTGCATGGAAACCCCCTTTATCTTCCTTTCGTCAATGTTGCAAACAAAAATTGATAATTTTATCCTAAAAAATTTTATTATTTTTACATTTGTCCTTCTCCAAATTTAGTACCAAAAAAATTAAAAATTTAATAAAATAAAATTTGATTTAGTACTCAAAAAATTGATATAATTTAGTACTCCAAAAAAATGATTAAATAATTTTTAATATTAATTTGATATTTGATAAAGTTGAACATAAATTAGAGAAAATTAAATGTCAATTTTTGTTAAAAATATATATTAATTTACAATCTAATATGTTAAATATTTTTTGGTGTTTATAGTTAATGTACTATTTTTTTTTTACATTCAGTATTATTTACAAATTAAGAAGTGACAAAATATATACGATCAGATATATAAAAATTTTGAATTAGTTTCAAGGAATAAATAATTGGATGACATGTAGTTTTATATGTTTTATGGAGTAAATAATAGCAAAAACAACACGAGAAAAAAAAATAATAGTATGAAAGAGAGATAGTGTAAGATAGATAGATAGATAAAAAGAATTATATGAGAGACTTAGAGTTGTAAAAAAAATGAAGTAGGACCATCAAATCAAAACGATCTGAGCCGCAAAAAACTAAAGATAAATAATCTATCTACTTTATTATATAGATATAGAAAGAGAAAGAGGAGATGAGATAATGTATTTAAAACGTCTAAGAGATAAGAGAGAGAGAGAGAGAGAGAGAGAGAAAGAATTATATGAGAAATAAGAATATTACAGTTAAATTCAATTATGACCCTCGAATCAATATTTATGAGATGATCTAAACTGTCTTTCATGTTGAAATTACGTTGTCCATTGTCTGTTAGATATGTTTATATTTTGTCTCAAAACAATCTGTCGGATCCCTCACACTCACACCCCCAATTCATATCCCCCAACTCTTCTCGTGGTTCACTACCCTAGTACACCATACAAAATGTGAAAAATGCATCTCTCTCTCTCTATCTCTCTCTCTCTCTCTCTCTCTCTCTCTCTCTCTCTCTATATATATATATATATATATACCCATTCACAACTAAGAATACCCATGTCATCAAAGTACATGGAGTCGCCAATTTTTGTAATAACAGGTTTTACAAAAACATTCCATTGAGGGTTTGGCTTTATCCACTGTCGAAGATTCTACCAAGTGATCATAAGGATGCCCTGCTAATAATTTCATATTAACTAATGATTGCCTACCAAATCCAGATGATAATTGAAAGCTCTTTTTAATTGTGTTGTCAGCCGACTGCTGCTTTTATATTATATATATATATATTCTAGCTTGTATAATTCAATTATGATTCTTTAAAAATAAATTGCAAAAGCCAAAAAAGAAGAATAGGAGAGAGAAGACGGCCGAAGAACCCTAGAGTTCAAAACAAAATTGAACTCAATCACACAGGGCCCTGTTGTCTTGGCCTAATTGTCTCGGATTCAAACACTTAACATCCGACAGAAACATCAAAGATTTCATGTTCTTCATTTTTTGTTTCCCCTCTTCCATGCGTATCCCTTCCTATTGGATACGAATGTCATTTTCTGTTAAGGTTTGCAATTCCCTCCTTTAACAAACATGCAACACAGTGCAGGGTATGTCCATGGCACGCTACCTATGTGTGCGTGTGCGTGTGCGTGTGATTACCAGATGACTAGAAGAGCAGTAGTTACGAATTAGATGTTGGGAGAGAATTGAGACAATCAAATTATTCTGACTACAAGCATTCTAAAAAACATCTTTTAAGGTGGGAGGAAAAGGTGGAAAATCCCTCAAATTTTCTTAGCAAAAAGAAAAAGGAAAAGAAGACAAAAGGAACATAAGGATGTTAGACTTGTCTCTCGACACAATGTTCCATCCAAATAAAGGGTTTTACTTGTGGTAGAGGTATAAAATGCTGAAGATAAAGAATCCAGCCATCTGCAATCGACAAGACATAATCAGCCATATAAATTGATAATTATAATACGGCTACAGAGAATGAAATTGACAGAAGGTACCGTAGAAAAGGAAGCTCCGTAATAGGGAAAAGCTGTTGTTATAAATCTTTCATATTCGTTGTGTCTGAAAGGCCGAACAGGAATCTGTAGTATGAAAAGATAAGTTTACTCATTTTCACATTAGTGACTCACAGTAAAAGAACCCAATCACTATCTAAGAGTTTAATGCGCTTTCACGTACACTAGTTTTTTATTGTCACCAATCTTGAAATATATGTAAATCCATGACTTACCCTGTTTTCGTCCCTATATATCCTAGACTCCTAGCAATATTTACATACACTATTTTGGATAAGGAAAAAAATGATCCACTAGTAAAACCATATTCCTCTTCAGCATAGGAACACAGCAGGCAGAACTCATGAACAAACATGTAGCATTCCATGTACATTCTACAATGTCGGGAAATGGTTGGGCCTGCAAAAGATTACCTGTTTCGAAAGTGATAAGCCAGTATATCCAAGTTTCTGATACTCAACCTTGAACTGGAAAACCCCATAAACATCGGGCACCTTAAATGATGTATAATAAAGACCCTGCAGAAGCAAAGAATATATGCATATCTGAAGATGAGAGGCTTGAACAGATAATATTGCATGATTGCAGGCACATGTCTAGCAGTGACTACCTTCTGATCAGTTGACAAGGTTTTCAACACATAGGGGCTCATCAAAAAGAACTGCACTTGAACATCATTGGCAACATATGGTTCCCAACTTTTTCCAGACCACTCATACATCTCAACAGAGTATTCCTGCAACAAAATTTGTCAGAAAATGGCAGCTAATTGTCTTCTTTAATCATTTTAATCCTACAGCACACATGTACTACAGCAAACGAAAGTTGAGATAACAAATGTGAGGCATTACCAAGTCATCATTGATCCGATACATTGCAGGTTCATCTGTTTCACCAACTTTGTGGTGTCCAACATTGACAGCCTGAGAGAACCAAGAAGACAAGTTAATATGATGCAAACACTTAAATGCATAGGACACAATCCAGTTGAAGGTAGGAAAACAAATGACAATGGTTTCTTCATTGGGTCTCAATCTTTTCCCACTCAAATCTCACAAACGAAACATTTATCAGCCCAAGTCGTCTCACCTTTAGATGCCCTCGTTCATGGAAGACCCATTTGCTAAGTTCAGTCACAAACTGTTCGTTACCCGATTTCCCATATCTGCTAGCACAAGCACTATTTTCCATGAGTTTCGTGTCTGAAGCAAAACACTCAATTACCTAAAGTTACAAACACAGGGAAGAAAAATCCAAGCATTAAGCAATAGATTACACAAACTAGTAATCTTGATGTCATTGAGTATCAACAACATCTAACAGGAGTTCTGCAGCTATTACTTGATCCAATATCAAATTCAGGGAACATTACTTAGAGAATCGCTACTCTCTGTGTGTGGGAAAGGAAGGGGGGGTGGAGGGTTGGGGGGGGTTTGTTGTAGGGTTCATCTTTTTATTTACCATAGGATAGAGTGATTTTAAATTATCTTCTATCTGAGCTTTTAAATGTGATGGCACATCGGTCAATGGATGAATGCTGGGTAACTCAACAGAGAGGTAGCAAGTGTGTGCCAATAAAGACCATTGCCCAATTTGATGAAACTTTCAACGCTCCGTACATCAGACCGCAAAGATATTATTAGGTTTAACACCAAATCTGCAAACAGCTTCTTCAAGAAATTAAATCTTGCATAAACAGCCAGAAATTTCAAACATATTCACATTAAATCACTCAAGGTACTATGCGGGCATAACTCCTTAACCACCTAATGGTGACAAAGATTTTATCGTACAAAATAATTAGTAAACTTTGCCAACAATAAAACCAATTCTGCAAAATCTACGAGTCACTAGGTAATGACACTAAGGAGACTTTGAAATTTCACTAAACATGAACCAGTTTTATAAAACAATCTAATTCCCTTGTTTCTAAACTCAACTCAACACAACAATTTGTCCCAACATTTTTTAGGCCGGCTACATGAATCCTATTTTGCCATAATGCTCTAGTAAGGGTCATGCTTTTTGCTAAATCATAATTTATTATATCATTTTATTTAAAGTTAATTTTGGTCTCTTTATCCCCACGCTTATCGTCAATAACCATCATATTACTTTCTCACCGATGTCATAGTAGGTTGTCTATAAATCAGTCCAAAGTACCTAAGTTGATTCTCCCTTAATTGATCTCCTATGGAAAAAAAAAAAAAATTGACCTCCTATGTAGGCTACTTTCACTTTTTCACGAATATAATCATTTTTAATTTTATCATTCCTAATTTTACTACACATCCATCTTCACATTTCCATTTTCGCCACACTCAATTTTTAAACATGTTTTTTCTTAGTTAGCCAATGCTCAATATCATAATAGCAGCCATTTAGTTCATCTTTCATTAATTATTAATTCCTCCATTGTGTTAAGAATTAGCCTCACAAATTAATGATTACTGTTAGGAAACCTATGACTTTTACAAGACCATTTGCCTGACTAATTTCTGTAAACTCAACTGAAGTCTTTACTTATGACCTAATGCTTTTCACGCATAACTATTTTGTTCTCGAGACCCATTCCTACCACAAGTCAAATTTATACATGCATCTATGCATAAATGCTTCCAAAAGCTAGTGTGCCTGTTAGATTTTGTATCATGTTCCCCAGTGACAAATGTAGTAGGATTGAGGATATAGATAAAAAAGATGACTGAACTTTAAATGTATAACCAAAAACATAAAAAAAAAAAAAAAAAAATTTAAAAAACAAGAAGAAAAATGAGAAACTTATGTTTCCCTTAACCTATCCAAACACCTAGAAAGCTACTTGGATGGACGAAAGTTTGGCTTAAATAAACCACTCCGAAGTTATCAGGTAGCTATAGGAAAGAAAGGGTGAGACGTAAGGTGACACATACATTGCACTTGCATTTTGTTACGAGTGTCAACGCAACTATCTTCTTGCTAGTAAAAGTGTGATCGATAGTAACTAACTTGTTTCAGTCTTTTACACATACTGACAGGTACCATTGACCATGGAGAAAAATTAAGAGCTAAAAACATACATGCAAGTCAAATAGACATAGACAAAGAAGATAATGAAGAGTTTCACTCACTTATCTGAGCTCCCAGCCTTCTGCACACCTGCTTTCAACAATCTGAATTCCATGAAGAACAATTATCACCAATGAGAACCAATTGAAAACCAATTGAAAACCAATTTATTCAATTACACTCAAATATTTGGAGTCGAAGGATTGAGAACAAAAAAATAATTAAGAAATTAAAAACATGCCCAAATACTCCTTACCTATTACTGAACATGCTTAAAGAGCCAGTGATCATAATCCGTGCATTGTTTCTGGCCTGTGGTTTATTAGAACAGTCAACAATATATTCAAAAATTTTATCAGAGTGGAAGGTATACTGAAAACATTTTTTTCATAAGAATACTGAAAGAAATTTTTTTTTTTTTTATAGGAAACAAGAATAAGAATACTGAAAGCAGTTGATGCAATAAGAAACTGCCACCATGTCGTATTATTTATTTGGTAAATGGAACCTCATAATAAACAACAAAATGGAAGACCATAAGAAGGAATCCCCCATCTGGATAATAGCCCAGAAAGTTGTCACAAACATATGTGGAGACATGTTTACACCTTACAAAAGACACTCAAAAACATTCAACCCCCAAAAGCCACAAAAAACCCACATTTACTGGGTGATCGATCACCAAGAAAAATTCTTGAAGGATGGCCTAGGAAAGACTAGGACCTATAGCTGTGGAAGTGGGCTCCTAGCCATCTTGCCTTAGCAAACTAAAAAGTTCACAACAATGATTCATTAAGAGGATATGATGAGCCATATTTTCAGGTCCCTCCATCATCTTCAATAACAAGAGCAGCCAACATGATATCAGGTTTCTACCTCTTTGTCATGGGTATGTCCCATGCCAAAAAATAAAAACCAAAGATTAAAAGGACGGCATTAACTCCACATGAAAGTTTTTCCTTTATGTTGATGTCAATGGTGCAAGGTCAGAAGGAAAGCATAGTAACAAACAGAACCACTAATCTGCAGTGATATGTGGACTTTTAGGAGCAGAAATATCATTTGATGATAAATTGCACTAAGAAAAGTTGGCCAAAATATAATGTTTGTATAAAATTTTAATATATTGTGTCGGGATGGTCCAAAATCAGAAAGCATGGACAACAAGAAGAGGCAAACATACCTGCACAACTGAAACCAATGAGATAGCAGATCCCAACAGGGAAGGTGGATTTGACAACTTAGACTTCGTATTAGCAGAATATGCTGAAGGAGAAGCTGAAAGAACCTTCAGAACCTATAAAATCAATCAGATATTCACAAGAAGTAAAGTCATTAGCATGACACTTTTAACTGCAGTCTGCAGCAACAAGCAAAATATAAAAAGAGACACTTACCAAACTGTTTGCGGCATTCAATGAATGCCCAATCCCTCTGAAAAGTACAGGGGCCTATTTCATGCAGGGATCAATCATTTGTTAGGTTAAACATTATTGCATACATAAAATCACAATAAGATATACCATAAAAGAAAAAAAAAGAGGAACAATTTGTTGTATTTGTACAACAGCAACTAGCATTTCCAAATTTGAGACAAAAGCATCCTGAATCTACGGAGCAGTGAGAGAGAGAGAGAGAGGGATGTGACCTCAGGACACAAATAACTGCACTATATGCAGTAAGGGTAGTACGAGCACAAACTATACTGCTGACTGGAAAACTTACCTCAATCTTTGTACCACCCAAAATAACATCGGATTGAATAAAATCATCAGAAGCAATCAATGTATGGTCACCCTCTGATTCAGATATGGCATAGCTAGAGTGATCAATAACCATAGCAGAGGGATCCTGCACCATGAAACAAACATGATGAGAATCTTGTTTAGGGAGAAATAAATGGTGTCTAACAAAGCAGAAAATGAATAAAAAAAGAAAGACATTCAACTCAGTCTTACGAAAACGCATGATTGTGTTGGCGTTTAGGAACATCTTTTAGCCTCCCAACTCTGCTTAGAATAAGGTATTCTCAATTAAGGAGGTGTACACTTTGGGAGGTATAAATTGCCTATTAATTAAAAATCACATACATTTCCCAAAGCTTTATCAAAAAACTTTGGAAATGCATGTAATTTTTAATTAATAGGTATTCCAATTTATTTAAAAAAAAAAGTGGCAAAGAGGCAAGAAAATTTGTTCAACTCCAAAATGAACTAAATCAAAATTCATTTAGAGTTTGTTGAGTGGTGGATATGGCTCTTTCGGGCATTATTCTGACAATTGCCTTCTTGTATACTCTACTTGGTTCTACCGTTCTAGGAAGGTGAAGGGCAAATTAAAGAAAACTAAGCTTATTTTTTGTCTCATCCACTCGTATGCTCCGAGAACCAAAGAATGAGTTTGTGAAACCTAAACATAGTGCTGCTAAGGAGATGCCCTAATTATTTCTCAATGATGTGGGGAGACAAGCAATGGAGACCATAAATGCAGTCTGAGTTGCAACAAGATGATTGCAGTTGCATCTATAGATTTACCAAGTTGATTTCTTAGAGTTGCAATATTCCAGAAAATCTAGTTTTTGATGCATCCCTAACTAAGATGATTCGTTGGATAAGGTGTATTCATGTACCTGAAAAGGTCACCCCCTTATTTAATATGTGACAATTCAAGGTTGAGTGAGAGATGCAACTGAAGCTGGATTAGCAGCAAGCCAACACTTTAGCTCCAAGGAGGGACCATTGAAATGATTAGACTGTTATACCATTAAAAAGGATTGTCGCTGTTTGGGAATTGTGGATTATTTTGAAATGCAAATCAGCCTTTAAAGTTGATATTTGTTGAGCAAAGAAATTTTAAGAAGTGCCTCAATTTTCTTTCTAGTAAGACATTAAAGCACTTTAAGAGCATAAGTTCTTGGACCAACAGTGCAAAATTTCTAAAGTTGAAACCAACAACAGGAGAAGAAAACACGGAAGGTTTTCAGATTTGAAGTTCAAGCATTGTCTGGTTCGAAACAAACACAGTGAGGCATTGAGCCTGTTGCTTTGAGATATTGCAAGTAAAAGGCATGAATCCATCAGAACATGGCATTCTAATAAATGATTCCATGAGATAGACACTGGACAGGGCCCGCAATGCAATTTGAACACTTAGATTCATGCTATTAACTAAGCATCACCAGCATACTAATTGGGGCTTACCCAAAATGGGACCAAATCAAGATCTGTCATTCTTGATATTTACTCAGAAAATAGAGCGTAGTAGCAATTGCATCTTGATTTCAAGACATGTTAATCGAATAGCTTGTGCCCCACAAACAGATGGTCTTATAAAGACTTTGGTTTGAATGATTGGAGATCCTATCTAATGATCTTCAGTTCAAATTATATATTGTAAGACCAATTCCCAAAATGTAATAGTTCGATCATAAGACGAAATTTCTGAGCAAACACATACAACATAAAGAAATTCGGCAATGAGCAGCAAAGACTAGACAGATGAAAAAAAGACTACCCACCTCATCAAAATCAACACCGCACTCAGCGGCAGTGTTCCGGATCAAATCGGACGCAGTAGCATCAGCCGCCACTATCAAGTCATGACCCGAGTCAACAAATTCCAACACACCCGCCAAATCCAAAGACCCTCCGAATCCTGTAACATTACCCACAAACCCCCAAAATCACTATATCGACAATCCACGGAAAATAAAAATTGCAATAATGAATCATTTCAAACTTACGCTCAGTTGTGGGAGAAAACAAAATCAATCCATCATACAAGTACTGGCCATATCTTTGTAGAGATATCGTTGGATCGTCTGCGAGCTTGAAATCGATCGCAAAACCGCGAGATTGGAGAGAGTCGAAGAAAACCGAGTGCGAAGACTTGAGGGCCAACTCGTCGACCAAGACTAAAATGCGCCGATCCGTGGGGTTATCGGGAGAGAATGAGTTGGTAAGGGTTATCTGGATTGAGATTAAAGCGATGAAAATAATGAAGAGCTTTCTCATTGTGGCTAGTTTTGGGGGGTCGAAAGTTGCAGACTTGAAGCAGCAGGTGAAGTTTAGCGACCCCGACGACTGTCCACTTGGTTGGCCTGGTGAAGAGTATATAAGATTGGGTTTTAGGAACAGCCCACTGACCCCAAGGAATACGTAAATTATGTAGATGGCCCCTAAACTATGTTATTTGTATCAATTTAACCACTAAATTATTTTTTATATTAATTTAACTCTTCAACTATGTAATCTGACTTGATTTTTTTTTTTCTATTCACATTGATCATCTACTATTCCAGGAAATAGGAATGCGCATGTTGCTCACAGTCCATTGCAAGGGAGTAAGTATTGAGTGTAACATTTATACTATGTCAAAAATGTTGTTGTTGTATAACTATTTAATAAAAAGATTATAAAATAAAGCCAACTTTGGACGTGGTAAGTTAAAAATAAATTTGATTTTTATATTTAAAAAACTAAAAACAAAATATAAAACTAATAAAATATACTTTGCTTGCAAAGGCATTATGTCGGAGTGTGACCATTGTCCCGCAGGCTATAAAGACCACGAGGCTAGAGCTCTTATCACAAGCAGGCATGGCAGTGGACCAGAGAAAAACAAGTATTTGTTCAAATTTGTCTTGTTTGGATCGAAGATAGAGTATATATATTAGACGGTGAACATATACGGAGATACCCGTATAAACTTGTATGAGAATGAAGGCGGAGATGAATTTACCCTTATCCCCGCCCCACCTCGCCTCCTTTACCCGTTATATATATATACTCCTAAACCCTAATTAAATATATTTACTGTAATTACCAATCTGAAATATATAATAATCAAACTAACAAATGGCATTGCTATGTGATAATTTTATCAATTTTTTCCCTGATTGTTCTTTTTCCTATTTGTGTTCACTAATTAAAACTATTAGGAGTTTGGATTGATCATACTCTAAACATAGATAAGAGAGGTAAAATAATTTTACATTTCATTGTGGGTAGAAATATTGTGAATGGAGGTTGATAAAATTTTTCTGCTAGAGTGAGCTAAGAAATGAGGAAAATTATTGAATTAGCAAAATTTTAAGTTTTCATTGTTTAATATTTTATAGTTGTAATATGAATTGTAATAATAAAAATTATTGTAAAAAATTTAAAGTGTAGTGCTATCGTTTTCTTAGTTCAATTTGATTTTCTTTTTTTTCCTTTCTCTCTAATAGTTTCGTTTCTCTTTTTGTGTTCCAATGACATTTTAAATAGAGTACTATATTATTTTGGCTTTTGCATTTTGCTATCTATATTATGTTGTGTTAGATTATTTAGAATGTTGTTGGATTATTTAAAATATTAAATTTATTTAAAATTTTGAATTATGCTACTTGGGCTTGAACTTAGACTTGAGTTTGGGTTTGGGCTTAGGAAGGTACGGGAGAAACGGGGAGAGAGATGGGGATGAGAATTATAAATTTATCCGTGTATGTATATAAAGATAAAAATTGTACCCATTAATAAGAATGAACGAAATTTTTTTAAACAGGTACACGAATGAAGATTACATTTTTCGTCCCCGTTTTGATCCACTGACCTCCCTAATCGTCAAGCCTAACAATACCAACTACCAAGCAAAATAATGGGCCCACTGGTACCAGGCCACACTCGCCCCCTGCCACTTGGGCAGAGATGACTTGTCCCGCCCACCACTAATATCAATTAATCAAATTGAATCCACTTTACGCAAATCAACAAATTTAAAAGCGGTATTTGTTTGACAGGATCGAAGGGGATTAGAAGTAGGATTGGATTAAAATAGTGAAATGGTCCACTTTTCTTTGGTTTAGTTGAAAAAATTGAAAAAGCCTCCTCGTGAGATTGAAAAACTCAACGTCCACTATGCCTTCACTGGAATCCAACCCACATGGGATTATCTGAACCCATGTGAATGGAGGGGATCTCTGATAACTCATATGATCAAGGGAGCTCTCACCCGTAATCGTTCCCTTTGAAGTGCACTGGAGGATCGAAGGCAGCAAGGAGGGAGAGATAGTCCAGAGACTGTCGATGAGAGGGAAAAAAGAAAAAGAATGGCTTTTTATTGGACTAATCACAACTTGCACCATGAAAATTCACTCTAATCTCAATTTACACCCTCAAAATTTTAAAAATATTAATTTATATCTTGAAAGATATAAATACATATTAATATATCCCTAAGTCTAATTTTCATCTATTTTGTCTTTAAAAAAATTTAAATTAATTATAAATTACACCCCTCAAAGTTTAAATATTTCACGTTTATATTCTAAAAATAATTTCATCCATTAATATTTGTTACATAGCTTTCAATTGTATCGTGTCATGTCATGGAAAATAAATTGAATTTGGGTCATTANATCGTTTTCTTAGTTCAATTTGATTTTCTTTTTTTTCCTTTCTCTCTAATAGTTTCGTTTCTCTTTTTGTGTTCCAATGACATTTTAAATAGAGTACTATATTATTTTGGCTTTTGCATTTTGCTATCTATATTATGTTGTGTTAGATTATTTAGAATGTTGTTGGATTATTTAAAATATTAAATTTATTTAAAATTTTGAATTATGCTACTTGGGCTTGAACTTAGACTTGAGTTTGGGTTTGGGCTTAGGAAGGTACGGGAGAAACGGGGAGAGAGATGGGGATGAGAATTATAAATTTATCCGTGTATGTATATAAAGATAAAAATTGTACCCATTAATAAGAATGAACGAAATTTTTTTAAACAGGTACACGAATGAAGATTACATTTTTCGTCCCCGTTTTGATCCACTGACCTCCCTAATCGTCAAGCCTAACAATACCAACTACCAAGCAAAATAATGGGCCCACTGGTACCAGGCCACACTCGCCCCCTGCCACTTGGGCAGAGATGACTTGTCCCGCCCACCACTAATATCAATTAATCAAATTGAATCCACTTTACGCAAATCAACAAATTTAAAAGCGGTATTTGTTTGACAGGATCGAAGGGGATTAGAAGTAGGATTGGATTAAAATAGTGAAATGGTCCACTTTTCTTTGGTTTAGTTGAAAAAATTGAAAAAGCCTCCTCGTGAGATTGAAAAACTCAACGTCCACTATGCCTTCACTGGAATCCAACCCACATGGGATTATCTGAACCCATGTGAATGGAGGGGATCTCTGATAACTCATATGATCAAGGGAGCTCTCACCCGTAATCGTTCCCTTTGAAGTGCACTGGAGGATCGAAGGCAGCAAGGAGGGAGAGATAGTCCAGAGACTGTCGATGAGAGGGAAAAAAGAAAAAGAATGGCTTTTTATTGGACTAATCACAACTTGCACCATGAAAATTCACTCTAATCTCAATTTACACCCTCAAAATTTTAAAAATATTAATTTATATCTTGAAAGATATAAATACATATTAATATATCCCTAAGTCTAATTTTCATCTATTTTGTCTTTAAAAAAATTTAAATTAATTATAAATTACACCCCTCAAAGTTTAAATATTTCACGTTTATATTCTAAAAATAATTTCATCCATTAATATTTGTTACATAGCTTTCAATTGTATCGTGTCATGTCATGGAAAATAAATTGAATTTGGGTCATTGAAAAAATTTAATATGGTTTGGATTAATATTACTATTTATTGAAAAAAAGTAATTAAATTTTATTTTTAAACACGTATCTTCGGATTTTCTAGAAATAAACAAATAACGATTTAGGCTTGAGTTGTATCGATATGTTTATTATTTTTGTGTTGGAAAGTTTTTTTTTTCCCATGATTCATATTTTTTTGTGATTAAAAGTATTTTGTACAAATTAATTTAAATAAATGAAAAAAATATTTATTGCAATATTTTGTAAAAATGAGTAATTTATTCATTTGTATTTTTTGTCATAAAAATATCAATATTAATAGATTGGACTTTTTTTTTTCATTCCATTTCAAACATGATATAGGATTGGATCACCTTGTTTTATACAAAGGTGAAATAGTCATTTTAATTTATTTTATCTTCATATGTTAATAGGGCCCACAAAACAAATAAAACCTATTCAAAACTGGGATAGGATTTGAATCCCATATTTATAATTCTCAAACCTGGATCACTTTGCGTTGGATTGGAATTCAAATCCAATCCAATCCTTTCAAGGTGATCCAAACACCACCAAAGGGGATTCGTCATAAATTTACACACCAGACGTACATAAAAGACTGAACTAAATAATGGTTTAGACCATATGCCCAATAAGTTATTAGTGGACCTTAAGCCCAATACGTTATTAATGGACCTTAAACCCAATACGTTATTAATGTATCTTAACCCAACAAGTTAAAGGATACCATAAGTCCAATAAATTATAATGTACCTTAAATCCAATAAGTTACCAATGACCTTAAGCCCAATGATCCCAACAACTTCCAAAAGGAGCCTACAACTCTTTTTGTATAACTCTTTTCCCTTTGAATTACTTGTTAATTTACTGATGAGGATGAAAAGGTTTAGGCTGTCATTTTTAAAGTTGTCTTCCCATCAAACTTCTTGTTACTCTACCGATGTGGGAAGCCAGTTTTGTTATAAAATGTCCATTATATTTTTACTATTTTTTTTTACATAATTATATTTCTCATTTTCAATATTTTGACAGTTTTTTTTTTTTTTTTTGTATATCACAATGTTATGTATATAAATTTGTTGCTTCTAGTGACGCTTGTACTTTCAACTTTTTTATCTATCACTCTCTGGTTCTCGCTCTCCATATGATTTAAGTAATTTCATAATGAAGACCCCATGTGCTTCCACCTGGTGGTGGTGGTCCACTCTTCCACTTGTGTGGCACTGTCACCGCACGTGTGGAGAAATGAAGTGAAGTCAAGTCAAAGTCATGTTGCCTTCACACTTATTCTTCTTCATGGCTTTGGGGCCTCTGCCAGTTGGCTTCGTCCCATCCTATCTCTCTTCATACTTAGCTGTCCCCGCACGTGCCTTGCCAACCCTCATTAAAATTCCATCTTTGACAAAGAAACGGTTTATGTTGGGCCAACGAGGCGTAAATTATGTGGTGGCCTGGT